TCCTCCATTGTGGATTTGCTCCAGCTCCATCATAACTATTGGGTATCCTAATCTTCTCAACATTAGCAAAAAAAGTTCTTAGATGGGGAGACAGCTTCTTGTATGAAACATACCTACCAATGGGATGTTGAGTGCAACTTCTTTTCCCTTTTCTTAAGTCAATCGGTGAGTGTAAATCTTCAAGACTTGGTTCAGGTGCAGATTCTTGACATTGCCTTGTAGCAATGGACTCATACCCACCATGTTGCTGTTCAGTTGCATTTAAAGGTTCTTCCACCGTAGTTTCAGCTGAATTTGTTTCAGAAATGAAGTTCAAAGGCTCAAACGGATTAATATCTTGAAACCTGGACCTGGTAGACGAAGATTCAGTAGTGTGGGTAGTGAGTGGGAATTTTCTGGGTTGTTTTCAGATTTAGAAGGTGAAGTGAAAAGGAAAAAAATAATTCTAATTGAGAATGAGGTATTGAAGTATGTGGCTCATGCTGGTCAGAATTAGTGAAATAATCTTGCTTGGTTTCACAAATGATCCATTCATACTTAGAGGTCTCAAAAGTCATATCCCCTTAAATGGGTGATTTGGGTAAAAATGGCTGATTTTCAATGAATTTGACATTCATAGTCACTTAAACCTTATTATTGGAAGGAGAAAAACATTTGTAGCCTCTTTGAGATGAATATCCTCAAAAAATGCATTTGAAAGCATGGGAATCAAGTTTGCCTCCTCCTTCATTGTAGACAAAAGAGGTGCAGCCAAACACCTTAGGAGGAATGGATGGAATTAAAGGAGAATTAGGAAGATTTTCAAGAAATTTTTGAAGAGGAGTAGAGAAATTTAAAGTTTTGGGAGGCATGCGGTTTATTAAATATGCAGCAGTAAGAATAGCATTCTCGCAAAATCTCTTAGGCACATTGTTGTGCACCATGAGTGCACGAGCAACTTTGAGAAGGTGCCTATTTTTCCTTTTAGAAACACCATTTTGTTGCGGAGAATATGCACAAGAGGTTTGGTGATGTAAACCGTGTGAGTTACAAAATTCTGTAAATTGAGAATTCAAATACTCCTTTCCATTATCACTCCTAGAAATCTGAATTTTATTGTGAAATTGAGTTTTTGCAAACATGTGGAAAGTTTTGAAAATAGAGAAGACTTCAGACTTATTCCTCATAAGAAAGATCCAATTTAATCGATTATGATCATCAATAAATGAAACAAACCAACAAGCTTTAGAATCAGTTTCAATTTTAGATGGACCCCATACATCACTATGAATGAGAGTAAATGGCTTAGTTGGATTGTAAGAATGACTAGGATAAGAATTGTGAGTTTGTTTGGCAAAAGTGGCAGGTTTCACAATGGAAATCAGCAATAATTTTATTGCCAATGTTGGGAAATAGAGCTTGTAAGTAGCTAAGACTAGGGTGGCCTAACTTAAAATGCCACATTTGAACATCATCTATAGACATAGAAGTAAAGACATGAGAAATATGTGCTTAACCTGTAATGTGGTTTGTGGCTCCAGAGTTCTACTATCTAGATATTTTTAGAGGAAGTACTATTGAGTGCTTGAGTAAGGGCAATACCTACTTGTGCTAGAACAACAAAAGGGATATACGTCTCACTGAAAGCAGGAATTGGTTGATTACCATGTTTGTCTGAGATTTTTTGAAGAACCATGAGCTTCTTTGTGCTTAAAGACCCGTTTTCTAGTATGGCTGGTACCGCCATCATGCCTTTACTATTGCTTCTCCATTTTTGTTTGTTGTTGGAGGTTTTATTGTGTAATTTCCAACAGACTTCCTAAGTGTGACCCATTTTATTGCAATGATCACACCAACGTCCATCTTTATTCCCCTTAGAATCTTCTTGTGATCCACGAACAGCCAAGGCTGAGACTTCTGGAGAAGGAGAAATAGAGATAGAGAAGACCTTGTTGGAGATTTAGTGAGTACCTTTTGATTTTCTTCACATTTAATCATGTTGAAGGCTTCTTCCAGTGTCGGCAGTGGTGTAACGCTCATAAGTTGGCACTAGCATCTTCAAATGGGTTTTTAAGACCCAAAAGAAACTCATAACAGTGTTCTTGGTCAACCAGTGGCTTGTAGTATAACTCATTTTTAGTGTACGACCATGTATGAACCTCATATAGACCGATTTGCTGCCATGAGAATTTCAGTGCACTAAAAGATTGAGTAATAGTGAAATCACCTTGAACCAGTGGCTGTAGATGACACTTGACTTGAAATATAGCTGTCATGTTCTCCTTAATAGAATTGATTGTCTTGGCTAAGCTCCATAGCTCCTTAGGAGAGGTAGAGAGAAGATAATTTTCACTAATTTCTAGTATCGAGTGAATCAACTAGGCCTTCACCAGATTATTCTCTACACACCATTTGTCATTTGTAGGGTCAGTTGGATTCAGTGGTGGAGTAACCCATTTCAGGAAACGTTCCTTTTGCCAACCACATATGATCATTATTATACTATGAGACCATTGGAGATAGTTGTGCTCAGGGAGATGGTGCGAGATGAGGTGTTATGTGAAGTCAAACAAGCCTATCGCAGTAGATGATAGGCCATCCCCCCTTGCCAGAGGAGAATTAGGTGGATTTGCGTTTATGGCAAGGACCCATGCCGTAATACCCAACATTGAGCGATAGTCTATCACGCCACTTGTAGCTTTGATACCATGCTATTATTTGCATAAGATCGCTTCATTTTAATCATGGAAAAACATAATACATATAGAGATGCAAGAGGGACGATTGAATCTGATTGTATCAGGCAAATAATCCTAAAAAAGGAAAATCCCATATATTTGGGGATATGAAAATAAATATAAAATATTCTAATAATTAGGTTATATTAAGTAACTTAGGTCAGACTCTTCTAATGTGCCCGAGAGACTACAAGCCTACTACCAACACTCCTAATGGCAAGGGTTAGAGTGCTATGTTTTTTGAAGTTTAGGGGTGACATTGAACTAGAATGGAGTTTAGGATATTGGGTGCTTATGAGGATATAGTTTGAAGACAAAAATGACCTTTAACACTAGCATAAATGTAGAGAGAAAATCTTTCTAACACTCCTCTCTATGTTGAATAGAAATTTAAAATCCCTAACTTGTTGCATAATTCTTCAAATCTAGCTTTTTAGAGACCGTTAGTTAGTAAATATGCAATTTGCTTGTTGGTATGTACCCAGATCAACCAAAACTGTGATTGCTCTGGCTACTGCATGATTCACTACCATTGAATATTGGAGTTGACTCTTGGATGGCAACCTTGTCCTAATTTCATTAGCCGACACTTGCTCACACTTCTCTGTCATTTGCTTGGACAAGTCTTATAGTAATTTCTAAGTACTTGCTTCATGTTCTTCTATTGACAAAATTCCTTGATCTATGCTGTTCATAACCCACTGCTCAACCAAGTTGCACACCTAGACCTCCATGTCCAGCCGCGAGCATGTTGCCTCAACATTGTGTCTGAAGATGATAGCCATGCTACCATTTGTTAGGAAAAGAAAGAAGATTATGAGAAAGGGATGGGGTGGGATGAACTGAGTTTCTTCATTGCTAACTTTCTTGCCTTGCTTACGATTCCATTTATTGCCAATTTGGTTAAAATACTTCCTCTAATTTCAGCTGAATTTGTGATTACTCGGACCAACTCATTTGCTTGTTACAATTATCTAATGTATGATCAGGCATGAAATATTATCCTCGTATTTTAAGCACACAAAATTGTTAGATTTACAATTTGAAAGGGAGAATCCATTCTTTGATGCAGAAAATATTGAATAAAAAGAAGATTGATTTATACTAGGAAGCACGGATACGCCGATTTTGGTGGCGTATCTGTGTCCGATACGTATCGGACACGGACACTCGCTCCGTGCTAGTACGTCCGTGTCCGACACGTTTTTTTTTGGGCGACACGGCTAGACACGGCGGGATATGGCTTTGACACGGCGGACACGACTGCTACGCGGGACGCTGCGTTTTGCATAAAAAATTTGACTAAATCCTTAATTCGCAAACCATTCAGCAGTTCGAACGTTTTCGGATCCTGCAATCTCTCCCCAGTCTCGTTCGTCGCTCTCGTCCCTGTCCGTGCTTTCTTGTTTGTGCCGTCGTGAACCCATCCATTCTCAACTCGCAAATCGTGTCTTGTTCTGTGTTCTGTGGTTGCTCAGCTCGTCGATCCAGTTGAGGTTCTTGACTTCTCGTCCTTCACTCGTCTCGTCTTCTCTCTTCTTTGCCTTGAGTTTTGTTTCAATATCTCACTCGTCTTCTCTACCAACTGTGATAGCATGAAACTGGAGCATATTTATTATTTTTTATGTTTTTGCTTTTTTTAAAGTTTGATTATTATTTATATTATTCATTTAATATCTTGCTCTCCATATGCACAGAACCTGTTGCTCTCTGTTTATTTTAAACTTAGTTTGAGTATAATTCTCAATGGTTCTGGTCCTGTCTTATTTTAATTTATGTTTTTTCCTTTTTTTTAATTATATATGGCTGCAACTAATAATTTTGAGGGAAGTATTAATTCAACAGCTCGTAAATCTTTTATGAATGAGCTACAAAAAGAATGTCACTGTGGTTACTTTGTATTTGGTTGAATTGTATGCATTTTTAATAGTTGAATTATTATTTATATTTATATAAATTTTTTTATATATCCCTGTTCTTGTATCCTAAAATTTTTAAAATTTGCCGTATCGCCGTATCGTATCCGATACTCGTACCCGTATCTGTACAACCTAGATTGATTATCAAATTGCACTCTATAGCCTGTTTTGTGTGTTATGATACTAAAACCTAGGTTTGGATTTATTTGAATAATGAACATATTTTTTTGTTTATTCATATAGCTCAACCATTACTTTCCATGCTTCCTCCTCTTTCTTTTTGTTAATTTCCATGTCACTTAATTACCCTCAACAAGATAACTTCCTTTTTAACTCATTGAAGTAATTTTTTTAAATCTTACAGCTTTATGACATGCAATTTGAATTGAACGAAATAGAAGCAAGGAGAGAACAATATCCTTCGATTGTATCTTTCATTAACTTGATAAATACTCTTGTTGCTGGAGAGAAAGACACGAGCGATAGAGGGCAAAGGTACTTTCCCCCTCATCTTTCTGCTTTTTGGTTTTTTTTTTTTTTTATGATTTTACTCATCTTGGATGTTTCTTTGTATTTTTTTTGCAGATTTATTGGCATCTTTAGGTTCATCTATGACCATGTTTTTGGGCCATTCCCTCAAAGAGCTTATGCAGATCCTTGTGAGAAATGGCAGTTGGTTGGTGCTTGCCTTAGACATTTCCACATGTGAGTGGTTTCATTTCTGTCGATTGAAAAGTTATTGACATTATACGTATTTACCTTCTTTGATGTAGTTCACCATTCATATTTGACTATCATTTTAGTCCTTTCTGTCTGAATATCATTAACAGGCGTCCAGACTCTTCAGTAGTATATGTCTGTAGATGGGTTTAAATTGTTTTGCTTGTCATACTATAAGTGGAGAATGTGAAGTCGTAGAATTTTATTAAAACATAGACATTGCAGGATGCTAAGCATGTATGACATCAAGGATGAGGACATTGAAGGCGTAGTTGATCAATCACGACTTTTAACTGCTAATGAATCATCATCACTTCAGACACAGCTCCCTGTTTTAGAGTTGATAAAAGTATGTGCTTTTCCTGCTGTTTGTTTCTATTTTTCTGCTGAGAATTTTGTGTATAGCATGTGGAGTGGCCTCTATATAATAATGAAATGTTGTTCTATTGAGTGACATCTTTTATCATTGGTTCTAAATTTCTAAGCTGTATGGGACAGTTGACCTTATAACTTTCTATGCTTTGCTGGCCAGTAATTATGATGGGCTGTAATTTGGTCCTTTACCTTCAGGTGAAGCCCCCAGTGCTTTCCTTGATTTGTAATGCCAACAGTTCCTTCAAGAACGAATATAAAAAATGGTTGTTTTTTCCTGGCAAGCTTATTTATGCATTTAGAGATTTAAATATAATTTAAATTTAAATATTGATGGCTGAATTTTTAGTTATGAAACTTTTTTGTCCGCAATATAATTTAATGAAATTTAAAAATGGAGTTTTTATGAATCAAACATTAAAAAACGGAGGTATAACATTCTTTGCTTTCCCATTAGGGAATTGAATCGTAATCCGCTTGTGAATTATAATTGATCAGCTACTGTTTGGTGTTCAAGTTCAGATTATCTTTAGGTGCTTTACATTTTGGATTTCAATTTTAGTTTGCTGGTTCTCTTATTTTTTATTTTCTAATTTGTTTCAGGATTTTATGAGTGGTAAGACTGCTTTCCGAAACATCATGGGTATTCTTCTGACAGGGGTGAATTCAATTATAGCTGAAAGGAGTAGTCAAATATATGGGCAGCTTCTAGAGAATGTAGTGCAACTTTCTTTGGAAATTTTAGTACTTGCCCTCGAGAAGGATTTACTTCTTTCTGATTATTGGCGACCTCTATACCAAGTAAGGTTTTCACTTTTCTAAATATGCTAGTCAACAGTTTGCATTTGTTTTAAAAAATCACTTTAAACTGTTTATTTTATCCTCTCTTTTGGTTCATGTGTTTTTAACGTTGTTTGTTATTTAAGTTTTAAATTTTAGTAAAGGATGCTATCAGTAGTGAATGGTTCCACGCTGCGTAATTAAATATTTGTCTAGTGAAAGTCATATACTGTTTTCTAGAAGTCCATAATTGAATATCAAGGCCTTTTATAAAGGGACCATGATCGTTGTGCCACATGAAACTCTGGCGGCTTTGGCAGCACATAATTATTCTTAACATTGTCATTCGGATTATAAGTGTAGCTTGGTGATCATGAAATCCTGCAAGCATCCTGACGTACTTGACTGGTTCTGTTTTTATTTAATTCTAAAGTACATTTAATGTTGACCTTTGTGTTGTAAAAGATTTATATCAGTAATAGTAAGTTACCCATTCATTAAGGGAGAAACAATTTTGATGTGAATAACTCCAATTGTGTATTTGGGCATGAATGTTTGGTGGAAATCTGTATAATTTATTAAGATTTGTGCTTTTGGTATTTTATTTTGAATTTTTAATTTATATTATCTTTTAAAAGTTAGATTTTCTTTATTTTAGAAACTATAAGGCATATAGGATTATTTTATCATGTCTAGGGTTTAGTTATCCAAAAATTTTGATTGTTGATAGAACACTATAGTGTTATGTAATTTATGTAGTTGACCCAACCTTCTGGGCTAATGTTGTTTGTTGTTGTCGTTGTTGTTTGTCTTGGATTTAGTTATTCTAAAATTTCAATAAATATTATCCTATCTGTGAGAATGCAATGCAAAGCTTATTTCTTATTCATCAATCTAGTCGATACATATGGAGGGAGAGAGAGAGATTGACTAAGTCGTACAGAATCCTATGTCTGAAACTAAATGATAAGATACTAATCTTTATCCTAGAGATAATGCTGACTATAATGGTAAGAATAAACTAACAGATAAGGATTATATCACAATAGAATAAAAGGCTCAAGTAAGAATCCTGAGCACTGTGTACTGCTATTTATAATAAAGAATGGGTACAGAGTAAAGGAAAAGATGATGACAGCTGTACAAAGGATAAGAATGAGTAAATACAAGGAAGAGAGGATTATTCTAGAGTGTGTGTGGCACGTGATTTCTAAATTTATTTCTAATTCGCTCCTTACTTCTAACCCCACTTTCTCGAAATGATGGGGCTTCTACAACTCCTAATTTTTCTTTTAATTTCCAGAACTTTGCATGAGGTAGTGCCTTTGTTAAACAGTCAGCAGCTTGATGATTAGAAGGCATACACTGAACTCTGAGTTGCTTGGATAAAATTTGATCATGCACCTTATGAACATCTATCGCAATATGCTTTGTGTGAGCATGAGACAGGATTGGATGCCAAAGTAGTAGCACTTGTATTATCACGCCATATAATTGGTTTAGGTTTCATCTTTAGTTTCAACTCTTTTAGTAAAGATCTGATCCATGAAATTTTAGTAGTTGTATTAGCTAAGGATTGATATTCAGATTCTGTGCTTGATCTCACAACGACTTCTTTCTTAGATGATCATGAAATTGAAGAATCACCAAAGAAAACACATAAATCACCTACATATCTTCTATCATCTGGGTATGATGTTTAATCTGCATTAGAGTAAGCACATATAGGAAAAGAATTGTTAGGCTTGATGTAGATACCATGATACATAGTCCCTTTGAGATATCTCAGTAGACCTCACACCTTTTCATTTTGCTTTAGTTTTGTTAGAGTAGGGTAGATGTTATTATTGTATCCATTGTAGGTTATGTATTGAGTATGTTCGTAGTATTATGTACGGACAAAGCATCTTCTATGATAGGTTGTATAGGGTAGGCTATATTAATAGGCTTGTAATCACCTCAATTATCATTGTGTAATTGCAATGTGCCCAAGTTTTATTGGGGGATGCTATTTTTGACTGCAAACCTACCTAATCAACTGTATATCTAGTCAAATGTTATTCCTTTGAAACCTCCCTCCATCAAATATACAAATTATTTTTTGCATCCCTTATTGAAACCAATCATCCATTACATGTCTTTGGTTGCACACCTTTGCCCATAACCACCAAGCACTACACTTGACCCTTGAGCTACCAAATGTAGATTTTTAGCTATTTTGCTACTCAGAAGGATACGATGCTTTGACCCTATTTTAAAACGCACCTTTGTTAGCCTTAATGTCACTTTTCATGAGAGATTACTCCATTTTTATGCCAATCCTTCGATATAGGGGGGGAGAACATAAGTGAATTTCAAACTTCGAGAAAAGAACAACCTAATAGAGAATAGGTGTTTCTTGAGCGATGGTTTTCACCAAATGAGCCAATACTATCACCACCATTACCCCCCCGCGTAAACCATTACCTTCACCTACCCTACTAACACCTCTATCTTGTCTTATGCCACCCCTTGAGGAAACACATGCAGAGTTGTAGACAAGAGATGTAGAAAAACCATAAAAGGGAGAATTGTCTATTTACACTTGGAAAGAAATTGAAAAAACAGTGAGTAACTTGTTCCTAAAGCCCCAAGAGAGTCCGAACTAGAGGTAGCTCTTAAAGTAGAAACTCATGGTGACACAGTAAGTTGGGGCAAACTCCTAAACCCCAAAAGCTAGATGGTATAGAATAGGTAAGTGAATCTACTGATATGGAAGAAAT